CTCGTTCGTTCCTCTGTTTTGTCCTTCTTTTCCTCTATATGTGACTTTATGTGACTTTGAACTTAGTGAAATATACTGACTAATCAGATGTGAGAAATAAGATCTGAAAATTGGTCTAATATATTATAATGAAGTGAAGCAAAGGAATAGTAATCTCTTTTTTGATCTATATCCGGAGAGAGGGATTGACTAGTCGTCAAGCACGAACGATAAGCTCACGTACTTATCGAGACGTGAGCGTACGCGAGTGTAGCTCCCAACTCAACCCGTAGACAAAACCCTAGCTCGCAATCCCTGGCGGTTGTAGCTAAGCACGGTGTAGCTTAGCCAGCTAGCTCGTACCTAGGAACCGAACCCTACTTTCCTTCAAATCCCTATCCCTCTTTCCCAAGCAAGCACGGTATACCTTGCGTTTGCGCGATAGTTGCTGACGGTATGGAGCCATGAATTGGTCGCAGACCCTTCTATTCATCTTAGCGGGTCAAAGGAACAGGTTGGCTTGAACCAGTCTCCTACGAGGCGGTAAGCCAAGACTGGAACGAAGGGCTTCGTCTAATAGAAGCCCGAGTGGAGCTAACCCTTATAACGAGCTACCTTCCTTACAGTGTACTAGCTACTCCTAACCAAGCCCGGGATGAGGAATCCGATGACGAATCCACTAAGGGCTTAACCTTTCCTATCAATGAAGTCAAGGAGTCCTTTATAGTCGAGCATATTAAATAACCTTGGAGTCGAGCTACTTCGTGCCTCTTGCGCATATACTGCCGAAGTAGTTGTTGCATAAGATGGATGTTGTCTGACATGTTCCTCCCCCTAACAAAGGCCGCTTGTGCCCCGTCAATGATGGTGCTGAGCACGGTACTCAAGCGCTGAGCAATGATCTCCGAACAGATTTTATATGTTGTATTGCAACAGGCAATCGTTCTGAAGTCAGTTACTTGGGAGGAGTGACTAGACTTGCGGATCATTACTAGTGTGGTGTGATTCCATTGCTTGAGAAGGCGACCGTTTCTGAAAAACTCTTGGACAGCCAAGACGACATCTGCCCCGTCCCAACTTTTCCGAAAGAAGGACGATGTGTATCCTAAGGGCCCTGGTGCTTTTTCGCTCTCAATGTCATCGAGTGCGGCTTTAATTGAAGATTCTGAGACCGGTGCAAGGAGTGAATCATGCTCTTCCTCCGAGATAAGAGGCCCGGACCTAATAACTGTCGGATCTATATCCTCGGTGAAGTTCCCAGTTCCAAGCAACTTTGAAAAGTGGCAAACAAATTCCTTTGAGACCTCATCAAGGGAAGTAGTTGGGACGAGGTACGAGGGCTCGACGCGACTGAGGCAATGAAGTTGCGCTTAGCGTTGCCCTTGACGAGGGCATGATAGAAGCTAGTACATTTGTCGCCTTTGATTTGAAATTGGCACTTTGCTTTTTGCTGGTAGAAGTGCTTCTCCGCCTTAGCAAGATTAAGTGCTTCGATTCGGAGTGTTGGAAGCAAAGCCTTGACTGCTAAGTCGCTTGGCCGGTCGTGAAGGTTGGGCATTTTTGAGTGCAAGCTTAGCATCTTTCGCACGAGCTGAGATTCGTGAAAAGTGCTCGGCATTGAGTTCCTTTAGTCATAGCTTTTAAGCGGGAAGTGAGGATAGATGTAATTTAGAGGTCAATTGCATCTTTAGAAGTGAAGGAAAAGACTATACAAACGAAGCAAAGCGAAGTGAAGTCATAGAAGAAGTATGGCATTGGTGTGAATGAGGCCGTCCCTTTGGTTATCGAATCCTACTTCCATTCTTTTTGAGGGAAAGAACCGACCCCAACCAACCAAGGGGGCTAGCTGCTCTTTTATCCGCTGCTGTCTCTGACCGACTGCATTAGCACTTGTTGAATTGGTCTTCGGCAATAACTTCGGAGTCGTTCAAATAGAAGTAATAAACTGATTCAACTTATCCGGGGCCCCTTTAACATTCTCTTTCTCTCTTTCTGGCTTAGCTTCAGTCATCCGGCCACTCTACTCCTTTCTTTTTCTTTGTTTCATCGAGCCTCTCAATTCGATGCGATGTAATTGACTTCTTTCTTCTCTCAATTTGGAATGGATAGACTTTTCACATTCTACGTCATTATTTTGACAATAAGATTCAGTGTCGAGAGAAAGGGCGACTCGGGCCCTATTGCGTAAGGGGGGATTGAGGTTGGGGAAAAAAAATACCCATGCTTTAGCCCCGGGAGAAGAGAGATCGTTTCAAAAGACTTTTCGTCCCACTCAACTCCCCCTGCAAGGCGGCCGATAACATTGATTCGGAGAAAGGTCAATTACATCGAGCCTGCCTGCGCGTGTGAATGGCGGAAGGGACCAGCGACTTATTGCGACCCGATTCAGACAAATCGATATCTGCCCAACTTTCTGGCATCTGCCTTGTTGATAAACACGAAAGTGGGTGACCTGCTGTAACACCAAAGATCTACGTTGGCTTTTTTAGTGGCCTAACTGATTGCTTCGAACGAAGCGAAGCGAAGCGAAGTGAAGTCGAAAAAAACCTGGGGACACATGAGCGCTCCACCCTTATCGATCCGGCATCAAATGGAAGTCCCAAACAGGAGTTGCCTCGTGCCTAGGGAGTAGGTCCGGAAAGAGACTTAAGGCATACCCATGAAGAAGCGGGAGTGCCCAACGAGTGTTAAACGAGATATGACCGAGATCACCTTCGCCCAGCATTACTATAAATTGGGTCACGTGCTATATAAAAAGAAGAAGACAAATGAGTTGTTTTCCCCACTTCGCTTCGTTTGTACGGTCAGCGAGAATGAATTATTGTAGTGACGTCTGGATTAGCACAACTATTGGGATACCTTCACGGGCACAGGCTTTTGAGGAGAAGTGCGGGAAGGAAAAAGGGGACAAGAAATATTGAATGGTTGTAATTGACCCCTTCGAATGAAATGAATCTATCTCCCAAAATCATCATGGACTTTCTATTTTTCCTTGCTTCGCCTATTTATTAGTTGCGTTCTTCCGAGCGTCTCAATCTGGTTCACGAGCGCCTAAGGAGAGCAAAGTGAGACTCAAAGAACGAAGCGAAGCGAAGTGTAGGAGGAGAACGAAGTGAGTCCTGAATTAATCCACGCCAAGAAACTCATTAGAGTTTAGAATCGAGTGAGAATAAATATTTCTTTATTCAAACTGGGGTAATGGACCTGTCGCTACCCTATTCACTTTCTCTACCCCTTTGCTTTCTTAGGGGAATAGCCGATCTTTTATCAGAAGCGAGCGGTCTGTCTCCTTAAATTTAATAAACTTCTATGACTGAACTTTGCTTCGAAAAGTTAGTTTGGTCGAGACTCACTTCGTTCTCCTGCCCCCTTCTGTTACTATGCTTTATGCCAAGGGTCGATGTAATTGAGGTCGGGATGCCGCTGTTACTGTGGTACCTCTAGGGCTGGCTGCTCTCGAGCACTAAATATGCTCGAGCTATTTATCTTTCCAACCGGTGGACTTTCTTCAAGAATAGCCTGAAAAGACAAGGAGGAGGGGAAGAGTAAAGTCCTCGGAAGAACACCCTTTGAACTACTATATATATATCCAATTTTCTTCCACTTGTGACTCGGTATCCATACCAAAAACAAGGTCAACTCAACTTCGTCGATCCTTTCCTTCACTGCGCTTCTGTCTTACTCTCTTCTTCCAATCCTTTCTGTCATTGCTATTTTCCTGACTTCGGTTTGGTCAGTCACATCAGTCCTACTGTTAAAAGACAAGCTCGCTCAGCTCGTGCAAGCACGGTGTAGCTAAAGCTTCGGTCAGTAAGCTTCGTTGCAGCCTACCATTCCATTCCTACTGTGCTAAAACCCAAGCTTCGTTAAGTCTTCGCTTTAGTAGCTCGTATCAGTTGTAGCTAAAGCTTCGGTGCGGTACACGGAACACCAACCCAATCGAAAAAGAAAAAGCAGATCAAAGTCCTCAATAGTCAGATAGGATCGTAGGCGATCTAATAGAATAGTAAGGTGCACTGCCTTTACTCCTACGGTGTTTGGCAGATACTGTCGAAGGGGGAACAGATATTTCACATGGAAATCGGGATTAGTATTGAAACAAAGGACGGACATAGTATAGTCTTGACTGACCGCACCAGATCTCGTAACGAGGAAAGATGCGGAATCGCCGGGAGAAGATAGAGCGAAGGGAATTGATGGAGAACCCGAAGGTGCAGAACCCGCTCGTCACTGAGAAGGGAAGGGGCATTGAGACCTAATACCACGTGGAGGCACGGACAAACCATCATATAGTGAATCAGGAAGTGATCGAATGCTTGTCTCGGGATCTTTTGGATGATGGCCAAGCTTTCTAGTTATCTGAGAAAGAGGGGTTGTAGGTTATATCTAGATACTTTTTCTTTCCAGCATTAGTTATCCCATCTTCCATTGCAGATTACTTATTCCATCTTTCGCAACAAAAAGGGAACATGCCAAAAAAGCGTAAAACGGCAACGATGACTTTTTTTGATGATCGAGCCAAGTTCCGAATTCGTGTGAAAGAATCTTGTTCCCGGTGATGTAATACCTACCTACCATTTTCGACCTCGTTTTCTTGTCTCTTTTTGGTCACCGTATTACATTTATGCTGTCATTCATAAAGTGGATCCTCGATCCACCCCTACTAAATCGATCGCCCCTGAAGCTATAGCATGCTTTATTGGCTAAAGCCCCTTCTTTCTTAGAAAACGATTCTGGTTCAAGTCTCATTCGAAAGCATTCGAAAGGAAGTAGGCGTCATCTACGACTTTACCTTCATGTCTTAGGCATAAGACTAGGTTCACTTAGAAATCGGATAGATCGTCGAAAGAATACTCAAAGTGCGGGATTTTAGACACCAACAAAGAGGGGTTGATCCTCGCTTCCAAGAAATGCTTATTTACGAGAATAGCCAAAAAGGCGGTATCAAAAAGAAAAGGCTTCTCGTCGAAGATGATCGGGTTTGAGCAAAATGAGATGAATGCCCTCTAGGCAAGCCAATTGACAAGTCCTGTATGTACGAGTTCGGAAAAAGCTTCGAGCCGAGGTTTCGCGGAGGCGGAGGTTTTTGATTAGGGAGGTTTCACGCCTCCTCTTTTGCCAGCTTGGTTTCAACTTCAACGGGGGTTGAATTGAATTCTCTTTGTTCAAGAGATTTTTTTCTATATTCTCTTTTTGAGAAAGAAGCTAAAAAGCAGCAATAAAATAAGAAGAGAAAAAGGGGAGAGTTTCCGCCGAAAGCTTTCCTGATATGTCATGTGTTTCTGGGTAGGATAAACCTAGAGCAGGGATGAACCCAAAGATGCAGCACCAAGGGAGCGGAACCACTGGGAAGATCGCCTCCACGGGGAGGACAGCAGAGAAATGCCAAGGAGACTTGAAAAGAGAGAGGGGGTTTTTTATCAACAAGGAGAGGGTTTTTTGAACACTCTCGAATGATTTTTTCTTGTTTGCTGGAGTTGGGGTTCTCAATGTAACAAGCTCGTTTGCTTTCAGTATGTTCTGCCTTTCTTGTTTAGTTTGAGGGTTCTTATTTTATCGAGTTGAGGTCTAGAACCTTAAAGAGAGAAGTTGATCTCGTTCGGATGCCTTGAGATGAACGGCTTCTTAGTTGAAGAGGATGGGGATTCGCTATCTATTTTATATACGAGATTTGGGGATAGTTCGCAACAAGCAGTGGTGCTTGCTCGGGCAGCACGCTACGTATTGTTCCTGTCTGGTCTGCCCTAATTATAAAGAGCAGATCGACTATGGACAAGCGCTTAATGCATGAACTCATACTCCTCCCTCCAGTCAAGGAGTTTGTTCTGATCTCTCAAGAAGTCTGCTCTCGGTGGAGAAAAGTGTGATGAAGGAGTCCGCAAAAACAGAAGTGGATGTTGCCCCAACTGGTATCACTGAGTGAAACCCTTACTAGTCTCCGACTGCTGTGTCCCTTAAATCAAAGTACGAAGATGCTCGTAGACCAGCCACCCCTTCTCCTATGGCAAGTCAATCTGAGGTTCCCTTGGCAGGTGAGTAGACTTGAGAGATTGACCCCTCTGTAAGCTCGGCGACAGCCACTAACAATGATTCAAAAGGGTGAGTGAGGACTGGGTCTAGCCCTGCTAACTAAGAAAAAAAGAATGCCCCAAGTAAAGATGTGGCAGACCTTGAATGCCGTTGCCAAGTGCCAAAAGACAAAGGAGAAGGCCTTGGAACGAGACCCTTCTCTCAAAGAAAAAGTAAGTGAAACTCCCTCTCGCTCTGGTATTGATGACCCCATCTGGAAGGTCTAATCGATCTATGGCAGGCACCCCACACCCCAAAAGGGGGTTGGGAGTAACGCCCCCAGCAACGGGAACAAAAGAAAAAACCCCTCCAGCTGAATGTAGAAAAACAGCCTCGACCCTCTAAGTAAATCCTTCAATAGCTGTCCTCAACAGCCGGGCGACGGGAACTCTCATTCATCGAGCGGTACAAAAAGAGATGGCACCTAGTCGTATCAAGGCGTGCCAAACCCTCCCCTCGGGGTATTCAAAACCGTCTCTTCCGTCTTCAAATGAAAGGTATCCTGCTCCGTCTCCATACATCAGCGAGTCCGTTGGCCGGGCTACTTCTTTACTTTACGGAGAGATTTAGGCTTCTGCTTACCTTGGGAATAGTCTTTTGGACTACGTATTCAACCGGACCGACCCCATCCTCATCATTATTGATGAGTCCCTATACACTAGGCCGGCATGCAATGGATCCATTTCCTCTCGGAAATAGGTTGGGCATCGCCCCGCTGATCAAAGACTGAAGCTGCCCTTGGAACCCTCCCTTTCGACTAAGAAACCCCGGAATCAGATACCAGACATGGTATAGATCCTTTGGTTTATGACCTTGTAACATCTTTTTTTGCATATGCTGAAAGAATGCCCTTTAACTATACTTTATTCCAATCCAAATAAGGATCCTACCACCCATGAGAATCTGGTCTCG